TTGGTTGCAGCCTTCATTGTTGTTTTGGCTGGCCCGGGTTGGATTCGAACCTGCCACCTTAGGTGTATGTGGCTGGCGCCTTAGCCACTTGAGCCACAGGCGCCGAGCCTATAGGTATAATTGTTATACCCATTTTTCAAAAAGTATAATCTTTCTTGCTCTTTTTCTCTTTTTGCTTGGCTCTTTCCCCATCTCCTCTCCACTCAGCTCACATCAATGCCCTGCTAGGAATCCTAGTTGGTACTGCATGTGCTCTGCATTGTTCTAGAACACAGGCGTGCACACACACACACAGGGGGTTTTAGTTACTATTTATTTTATAAAAATAAGATATCTATACTTTACTGTATCTGGCTTTTCTCAATACCACAGAAAAATCTCTCCAATCATGGGTGGTACCTGTGGCTCAAAAGGGTAGGGTGCTGGCCTCATATGCTAGAGGGTGGCGGGTTCAAACCCAGCCCCAGCCCCCCCCCCAAAAATCTCTCCAATCTCTCGATGGCTCTAATTTATTATTTTTAAGAGCCACAAATCATCGTATGCTGTAGAGAGACCGATGATCTAATGATCTAATGTACATATTTCTCTTTCTTCCCCTCCAGGCTTTTGCTTTATTAACTATGCCTTAACAAACACTCTGGCTCTGTGGCTTTTATGTTTTGGGGACAGCTTCCTAAGAGTGGGGTTGCTAGATGAAAGGATAGTACAGGTTTTGTCTTTGCTTTTAAGAAGAGACGCTGCTAGACTTTTCTTCTAATTTGCTAATGACCTTGGGAACTCACTTTTCCTTCCCCGACCTTTGTTTTCTCATGGGTAAAGAAGGCGTCTTGCAGCACAGGTGACCTTGAATGATCTCCAGCTTGTTCTAAAGCTCTCTGCGCCTGCACCAGCACCCACTGCCCTATGTTTTGCTGCAGTCAAGTGAGACTCATTGCTACTGCTGACTCAGGAACAAGTGCCCTGCCTGTCTCTGCCTCAGAATTTGGAACCTAATTGCATGCAGACTAGTTCCTTAGCTAAACCACTGATTTCCAAATACGAACCTTTCTAAATGCTACAGGGAAGGAAGCTTCTGTTGATTAGTTCATGTTTCTCTGACACTCTGGATCCAGATAAGAAGTGACAGGAAGGCTTAGTACCAAACTCCAAGCTTCTGTCCTATGTGTTGACATTTACCTTGATCTAAACAAAAAGGTGCCTCAGGAGGAACTCACAGCAGCTTCCTTAGAGTGGGGTTGCTCTCTTCCTAAGAGTGTGTTTGAGCCCTTTTCTGGGGCGTTCTTAATTTTCTTACTAAGTGACCAAGCCAGGGAGGAGGGGAAAATGCTGCACAATGATGGCCTACTTTGTAAGCTTTTCTATTCTGTATGTCTACCCATATTAAACCTTCTGGACCAGGGAGAGAGAGCTGTTTTATTTGCTAAGTCTGTGGGGCTTCCAACGTATGATTCAGAGACTGGACAATAACAACACCTTACTGAAAGCATGCCAAGGAGCCAACCTTAACCTGGGCACTTCGCATGCCTTTTTTTCATTTCTTCCTCAAGCTACCCTTAAGGTACGTTAACACTTATTATCCTCATTTTACAGAAAGGGAATTTCCCCCAAGGTCACAGAGCTAGGAGGTGATGCAGTCTGTCTGCAGAACCCACATTCTTAACACAGAATAATACTGCAATGGAACTGGGCAGGGGTAGACGTGGGGGTCAACAAAACTGCTTGGTTTCCTGACTATTGGCAATGTCACCCGAAACCCACACCGAGCCCTCACTCACATCCATCATCTAAGGAAGTTTTAGGTGCTAACGGTTCCCACGTTAATGGCTAAACATAGACACAGGTGCTGACACTCTGCTTCCCTGTGGGGTAGACAGGAGTTCAACACACCCGGGGCTCAAATCCTGGCTCTGCCGGCTGACCTTGGGCACATTTCTTCTCCTTTCTGTCAAAGCAAGTAGCAGTTCTTTTTCCGAATGCTGCCCGGAGGACCAGAGAAGGCTGTAGCCAAGGGACCCTCCTAACACGAGAGTAGGCGCTCTTAAAACACCGGCTTCCTTTCCCTTCTCTCTCTTTCCCTAGCTCAAAGGAGGGCAGCGACTTGAATGTGCAGGGCCGCCCTCCAGGCCCTCTCCTGTCTGGGTTGCAGTTTGCCTTTCGCGTCTTGGCACAAACACTGGCGTCAGGGCTATCAAAGGATGGCCTCTTTTTCAGTAGGCTATCCGCGTGCAGCCGGGTGGACACGAGTCTTCAAAAATAGCTATTTATTTGCTTATCTGCAAGGAAGGAGTGTGCGCGTGTGGGGGAACCAAAGTGATCGAGGACAAAATCAATTACTATTTTTCATCTTTGACAAAGTAATTAAGGCCGTAGTGACTGGCTAATTCCGACCGAATGGCTGTGCGGTGATGGATGCGGATTTACGGCCTCCTCGGCTGCAGCGAGCAGGGCGATTATCACTCGGAACAGGCGGCCGCGGAGGGCGGGGGCGGAGACCCGCGTCCAGAGGACCTGCGCCTTTTCTTCTTTGGCTTTCTTTCTTTCTTTCTTTTTTAATACTGCAGCTGCATCCTCTGCGCTTCGCAGGCTGACACACACCCTTAAGCACCACGAGCCGCCCCAGGGCCTGGCCTGCTACCTCCGCAGGCTCGCTCCCGCCCTCTAACCCCATCCACCTGCCCCGGTGCTTTCACTCCGCCCCCGAGTTAGCCTCACAGCGACCCCTCTTCCCTGGTTCCAGCCCTTTCTCCATTCTCCACGTGGCCCCTCCTTTCTAGAATCTTGCGGCTGAAAGTGGGGGGAGGTGAACAGCCCGAGCTGAGTCTCTGCCAACAACCCTCCCCCCTTTCCGCAGACTTCCCTGCCCGTCACCCGCCTCTGCAGAGCCTGACGCGCAGCGGGCCCCACGCGGGAACCCGAGTGCACACTTGGCTGGGGGGGTCTGTGGGGGAAACGTCAGGCCTGGGGACTGAGCGGGGGCGCTGGGCGTCACAGAGGCCCAGGGCGGCAGCTGGGGGCGGTGAGAAGGCTGGCAGGGTTCCGGTGCAGTTCTCCCCCACCCTCCCTGGCCCGGAACGTCTGTGCGCCCGAGAACGTCAAGGCTCCGGGTCAACGCTGCGCTCGCACTTGGCCCTTTCGGGGCTGCTCAAACGCAAATGTTAGGAAACTAGCCAGAACCTTTTGAAGTCGTGACTGTCCCTTGTGGACGTCAACCCGGGGACCGGAGAGGGAGGCCTATACAGACCTATTGGCGGGCGTCGTGGTTCCGCTCCAGGCCGACCGCTAGCTGAAGCCAGGGTCTGCCAGGCCTGCTCTCTGAAGTTCCCGAACCTGGGGGTAACTCCTTAGAAACGGGTCTGCTTTGGAATAAACATCCGGTATAAGCGTCCTATAGATTCTCTTCAGCATCCTCCGTGGCGCCCAGAGCCTGGGAGGTGCCTCCCAGTGCCAGTTAGAACCAGAGCAAGCGCTCCAGAGGGGTTCTCATCCTCACCCTCTTCCAGCCAGAGTCCTCTACAGCCTCATCCTACCCACTAAGCCCTCCTCTCCGACCTCGCGCGGTTCTGAACACCGAGTCTCCTAACAGAGCGCTCTTAACCCCAGCAACAGCCTTGTGGGTTGGGATATTAAGGGTTTGAAAGCTACTGAGCCTCAGTTTCCCAAAGGCTGTTGCCAAGGCTATTCGGGATAATTCATGGAAAGCCCTGGCACCATGGTTCAATATTGAGATGTACAATAAAAATCCGCCTGAAACCCGCAGTTCAAAAGTAAGTCTTTCTTGGGGAACTAATCCCTCCCGTCCCCGCCTAAAACAATGCAGACCATGTGTCCCCAGCCGGCTGCCCTTGGAGGGGCCAGGCGGGACAGTCGCCAGCAGAGGCATCCAAGCACTGTCGAGCTTCTCGAGAGGGGGCGGGAGGGGGCTCCGAAGAGCCCTGGTGCCCGCCGCAATCTGCCGCCGCAGCCTCCGCCTGCGGCCGCGCTGGCATTACCCTCCCGCCGCCTCGTGGGGACTGCCCAGCCGAGTGTGACGGCGCGGACCCCGAGGCTGTGCGCAGGGTTGCGGGCAGCAGGGAAGGGACAAAATGCTTTCCATAGCTTTTCCTCCCCAAGGCCAGGGGTTCCCCATTAGACTCTCAAGGAAAAAAAGGAAGCGTTTTGCTGAGAATCCCCTTCTAGTTTCCAATCTCCAACTTCTTGGTCGATACGTTTTGCCTTTGTTATGGTTATAGCTGGTGCTTTGTACCAACGGAACAGTCCATCTTTTCGTCGTCACATCACCCCCAGCCCCATCCCTGCCGCAGTACAGTTGTATGTCTCCCAGTGGCTTCCCCCATGGCCATTCTGCCCCCTCCCCCTCACACCTCCTCCCCAGTTGTTGGGAATCTCCGTTTGGAGGGTATCTAAGGTCCCGCGATTTCCGAGAGGGGCCTGGCCCTGACCGGTTTCACTAAATAGCTGTGATGGAAGAGTGGGTTTCCTTTGACTTTGAAAGGGGCACAGGAACCAAGTCAGTGTTGGAAATAATTTCCTTTTTATTTCTCTAAAATATTTTCAGAAGAGCTTTTAAAAAAGTCAATTGCACTGGGGATTTGTTACTGATTGTGCGAACGGATAACACGGGAATGCAAATACTGGATCGCAGTTTTTAAGAAAAAAGATGTGAGAATCAAGTCTGCATGCACACCGAAGTGGGTACAGGACCCCGTGCCTGCACCAGACCAGCAGAGCTGCGGGCATCGTGCAGGCCCTCCATCACTCCTAGGGTAGTGTTGCAGAATCCCTGAAGACTGGGGTAGACAGCATTGAAATCTGGTGGAAAAGAAAGACAGGACGGTTGATGGAAACACCCCTCCATCCAGCCCAATCCACTCTGTTGGCGGCTGCGCCCTGCCTTGGGTGCAGTGGGACGTGTCCCTCCCATGTTTCCCTTAATTAGGAGGAGGCAAACTTCTGTCCTCCCCTCCTGCCGGTTTCGGTTTAGTAATCAGACCCACATGAGTCACGCCAAACACGCAGTCTCCTCCCGCCCAAGGGACAACTGGTCAGCGTAGGCAAGGCTGTTGTCCCTTTAAAACTCGAATCCAAGGGGGTAATGATTTATCAAACTTGTATTATCACGAAAATGTCAAACCAAGGGCACCTTGCTTTGCACTGACGCAAACCGGTCTTTCCCAAGGAGATATAGAAAGCGCTTCTCCTGCTAGAGCCAAACCCAGTCTTGCCAATAGCGGGTTTTACCGTCTACCGGTTCAGTCTGTTACCTGTGTTAGACATGGTGAGTGTTTGCTTTTGTTCTTTCAAAAGGAAAGGGGCTGAAGGGATAGGGAGGGCACATTCGTTTAGGATATTTCTCTTCGAAATATACAGCATTAGAGGAGGGGAGCTGAGGAAGAGAATACTGGCAGCTGCGGGTATTTGTACTTGTGACTATCACCTGAGATCGAAAAGAGGTTTCTTCAGCTGTAGAGCTGAGAGGTTGGGGCTCCCAAAGACGTGATTCCGGGTACTGTCCTCGGTGCTGAAAAGCCAGATGCCGGTACAGAGGCGAGTCACTCTGGATCCTAGCGGCTACTGAGACAAGAATGCTGGCTGGTGCCAAGGTACTTAGATTTGTTACAAATTAAGGAGTTCTGTCCTGTTCATTTGTGAAAGAGGGGGTTAGACCAGAGGCGTGAGGTTGAGATGAAAGTAATAGGATTATTCTCACAGTAGCATAATAATTATTGGGGCTAATGTTTAGGAAGCCCTTCCCTTAACAGCCGGGAAGAGAGCAAACAGAAAAACCACTGTTCGCAATTCTTTTCATTTGAAAGTCAATTGGGAGGAGGCAAATAAAAATCACTTGTGAGTTTCGTGAGTAAGGGTAGGGTTGTGGAGGGTATAGACTGCTGTTAATAGTTACGGTTAAAAAACAAAAAGCAGAAAAACTTTGCATGTTCTCAACATGTCTGGGATCTGAAAGTAATGCCAATTGTGTAAGATAACAAACCCAGTTACTACCTTGCGTTTTAAGCGGCTTATTTTTGTTGTCGTGGGGATTTTTGTTGCTACTTAGATCGTGATTCTTATCCTTGTCTTTGCTACCTTGAGGGAGGAGGTGGGTTTTGGAGCACTGAGATTCGCACCACCGATTTGGCCTCAAGCGCTCGCAGGTGCCAGGGCATCAGCTTTGTGGCCACAGCTTGTCTACTGGGGTAAAGAAAGAAAAAAAAGGCAATGTGCATTGTTGAATGACAAAGGAAATGGGGCGGAAAATTAAAGAATCTTTCTACAATGGTGATGGGGACGCGGGCACCCCACAGCTGTGATGTGAAATCCAAAGCCGGCGGGGAGCTCATGACTCTAGGGCTATTTCCACCCTCCCTTCTTTGCCCCTCCAAAACACATTTCTGCTTCTTTTCTTAGTTCATTCTCCACCAGAGAAGGAATATTACTTTATTTCATCTGGTTATTGACAAGATGGGAAAATTGAGAAATACTAACTACAGTCTTTCTAGGGGAAAAAAATTTCAGACCCCAGTTTGCTCCCCCAGTTATTTGTGTCTGGACCAGAGTTGAGAACGTCTCCGTATGTAGATACAGGTAAAATACAGCTGCCGTGATTGTGTTTTGCACAAACTTGACATTGTATTTGCAGGATTGCAGTGCACCAAAGGAAATGAATAAACAACCAGCCAACAGCCTGGAGGCGGCGGCGGCGCTGGGCCACCCCGATGGCCCATGCGCTCCTAGGACGAGCCCTGAGCAAGAGCTTCCTGTGGCCGCCGCCGCGACGCCGCCACGTGTGCCCAGGTCTGCTTCCACCGGCGCCCAAACTTTCCAGTCCACTGACGCGCGAGCATGTGGGGCCGATCGGCCAGGAGTGGGGTCTTGCAAACTCAGTAGCCCCCGGGCGCAAGCGGTCTCGGCGGCTTTGAGGGACTTGAGCCAGGCGCAGGGCGCGCAGGCCGCCCCGCCTCCTGAGGGCGCAGGCCTCGGCAACGCGCTGCAATGTAAGATCCCGGCTCTGCGCGGCCCGGAGGGGGATGCGAACGTGAGTGTGGGCAAGGGCACTCTGGAGCGGAACAATACCCCTGCGGTGGGCTGGGTGAATATGAGCCAGAGCACGGTGGTGCTGGGCACGGATGGAATCACGTCTGTGCTCCCGGGCAGCGTGGCCACCGCCGCCACTCAGGTAAGCAGGTTGCACTGGGACCGCGCGGTGTCCTGCTCTCCAGCTGCGCGCAGGAGGCAAGCGGGCTGTGGCGGGTGCACGTGTGCTGATGGGGAAACCGGTTGGCAGTGCCAGGGGATGGATGCGGGAGGAGCTTTGGGGCTTTGGAAGCTCGCACTACGCTGGGGTCGCCGGTTCGGGGCGTGTGGGCTGCACTGACCCTGCCAGGGGGGGCCGCGACCTACCTACCCTTCCCAGCCTCCGCGGTAGTGAGAATCCTAGAGTTCGGGTGCAGACCCGTGAAGTAGCTGAGGCAGACAGAGTCCGCTCCTTTATGCAGACAGACTCCCCTTTCTGCCAATGACTGGGTCTTTCTCTTCTTAAAAATGTCCTTTTTTTTTTTTTTAAAGAAAATTCGGGGGAAAAGCCCGAGTGGGTAGGGGGGCGGTAACAGTTTAAGTTCTGTAGCCTTTACTCTGCTCGTTACCATTTATTACTTTAGAACTCTCTTGATGAGAAGTGGGTTTACACGAGGCTACTGAAGCTTAAGCGTCCAGGGCCTATCCTTTGTCTGCGCCCTTCCAAAATCAGCATCTGATTTTGCCATCCTAATTTTGTATTTTTTTTTTTTCTTAAAGTGTATATCCCTCAACTGTGTAAGCGTCAGGCCCTACCTACCAACCTGGACCCACACTTAAATTTAATCCTTTTACTATTCAGCCAAAGGTGTGATAAACCCATGGAACAAATCCCAATCTCTGGCCTGTGATGGATAAAGGCAACTTTGGCTGGTGCCCCCTTTCTTCATATTGGCTTTTGTTTTCTTCCATTTCCCTCCAGTCTTTGTCCTTCCTTCTCTGATCTCTTCTTTCTTCGGTTTCATTCACTGTAGCTCTTTTCTTCCCATTTCCTGCCCTTCTGCTATCTTTTTTTCCTCCCCTAGGTTTGGGGGCTAGGCATGTATGTATCCAGCAGTGGGGTCTGGACCAGAATATGTGTCTGTGTGAGATTTCAGATTTACACAGTCCTCCTGCCTTGGCCACTCTGTGTTCATACACACACACACACACACACACACACACACACGTGTCCATTCATACTTACCCACAGGCCCACATAGCAGGCACTTGGCTGTTAGAATAACTGGAAATCAACATTAGCTTAGACTTTCCCACTCACCCTTGCTTTTGGGGTCCATGTCTGGAGCATTTATCTGTGTGTATTAACTGCCTCTGGCAGTATGTACCCAACAGTGTGACCCCAGCTGTAGTAGAACATTTGTTTTACTCGTCTTGCTTAACCTCCGCACTGCGGCAAAAGGAGCTGGAACTCCCCCTCTTTGCAGCCCGGGAAGGATCAGAGGGTGGGGTTAGGAGTGGAGGTGGTGTGTGTGTGTGGGAGGAGTGGAGGGAGGATGTTCAGAGGTTCAGGTTCCTGCAAGTCCTCCTTTCCAACCCTGCCGATATTCCGATTGGGCCTTTCTGACACCCACGCTAGACCTCTTCCTCCCTCCCCAAGACGTATCTCCTGACAGCTGCTGCTTTATCCTCCCTGGCCTGGCCTGTAGGAAAGTGTAGGATGTAGCAGGTTGCTACAATAGGAGAGGAAGGATCACTCAGGAGATGGAAATGGTGCACACTGGGCTGAGCCCCTGGAAGGTGTGCTTAGTGTCCAGGGGTCCTGAACATGTTCAGAGTTCATTTGAGGTGTCCACACCACCAGATTTTTCTGCTTAGTAGTGAGGGATTCCAGAACCAGGCCCAAGAAAGCATCTTAGTGTGAGTATGGAGAAGAGAACCCCAAAGATTCATAGACTGCTGCAGCTGGCAGGTACCTCAGGGGACAATTATCCTAAAGTCCTCTTTTTACAGATGGAACACAGAGGCTCTGAGAGAGCAAGTGGCTTGCAGGGGTTATCCAGTAGTAAAGTGTAGGTCAGAACTCTTTACCATATCGACCTTTTTCATTCTTCCTCTTATTTCACCTCCAAATCTCCCTCCTGCCCATCTGCTTGCCCCACTGCTGAAGGATGTCCCCCTCAATGTAGATGACTAGGCAGGTTCTGCCCATAGACTCTGGCGGAGGAATTGAGGCAGTGGCTCTGGCTGGCTTTGGCATTGCAGCTCTCTTTCTGGCCTTGGCACACACTCTGAAGCAAAAGGCTGAGGGAGGGGCGTGGTGGGGTTTTGGGGGGCGTGTATGATTGGTTAAGAATCTGCTTGCTGGGATGTCTAGGCATGATGTTGGGGGCCTGCTTGCCAAATGAACTTTTGGTAACGGGTTGGGGATGGAGGGACCTGCTTGCAATCAACTTACAGGATCAAGGTTTGGGAAGAGCTGCTTGCTGGTGTGCTTGGACTGTAGGATTTGGGGAAGAGGGGCTCAGGGGTTGGTTTAAGATGTATCTTGGGATCAGGATTGGGGACCTGCTTGCTGAAAGGCTCTCAGTGCAGGTTCAAGGGGCAAGGACCCTGCTTGTAGATGCATCCTTTCTTTAGAATTGGGGTCCTGCTTGCTGATGCATCCTCAGTTGAAAAGTGGGGGCCTGCTTGCTGGGAAGGACCCTTAGCCAGGGGAGAGGGGTGGAAGGGGCCTGCTTGTGGACCTACCCGGGGCTGTTATCCGACAATGTGCTTTTCCGCCCCCAGGAGGACGAGCAAGGGGATGAGAATAAGGCCCGAGGGAACTGGTCCAGCAAACTGGACTTCATCCTGTCCATGGTGGGGTATGCAGTGGGGCTGGGCAATGTCTGGAGGTTTCCCTACCTGGCCTTCCAGAACGGGGGAGGTATGGCTTTTCAGCTCTTTCCGCCTGCTGGTGTGGCGGGCGGGCACTTGAGGGTTGGGGGGACCCGGAGCCCTTGGGGCAGGCCGGGAGGGGAGGCTCAGGGCAGCCTCCTCACCCTCCAGCCCTAGACCTTGTAGGGGTAAAGAAAGAAAAACCTGAGGGCAGGAGCGATTGTAATTGTTTGGCGCCGGATCCAGGAGGTTCTTATCTAGAGATGGGCTTACAGATGAGGAGTTGCAGACCCATGATTCCCCACTGGCCCAGTTTGGGGGCCTGAGTCAGGGAGCGATAATGCAGGCAAGTTCAGACTCCGGTGGTCAAGAATTCACTGAGAAAGCAGAGGCCGTTCAAGCACCTAGTCAACTTTAGAGCCGGTAGCTGTGCCGTCCTGAAGGCCGAAATGAGGATTGTAACCTGGATATCTGAGTCTTCCTAGGAGACTGAGAAAGGGGAGCTCAAGGGGAGAGGAATTCAGGGTGCTGGTGAGCCTAGGAGGTGCCAGGGAGTAGGGGCTGGGGGCTGGGCTTCCAAAAACCTCTCGGAGGCACCCTCCCTTACCTTCTTGGGCAGAAGTAAGGGCATATTTTGATTTCAGTAATTTAGCAAAAACAGTTTATCTTTCATTTGTCCTACCTGGGTGGAAGATGCTGCTTTTGAAGGAAAATTGTGTCAGTGGTGGGAAGGATGCCAGTTAGGCCCACCCCGGCTCCCCAGCCCCGGGGATCCATTCTCTCTCCTCTGTATCCACTGAAGGGGGAACCTACACTTTCTGGATCCTGTCTGTCTGGAGAGGCTCCCTGTTGGCTAACTGACAACTCACCCTCTAAGAATAGGGATTTGCACCTAGAGCTCCTTTCTGCCATCTGCTCAAGGGGACCAACAGGAGGAGCGATGCACCCCCTTACCCGATAGGTCAGGCAGCTTTGGGGTTTTGTCTGTGTGTGTGTGCGTGGTCATTTAGGCCCTCTTCTGGAGGGATTTGGTGTGTTGGAACTGACAGGTGCTGCGCCACCAAAACGTCCCCTGCCCCCTCCTCCCTATTTCCAAATTAGGACACGCTGACAAGTGCTTGTAAGACAACTGCAGAGCGTTTGCAATCAGGGGTGCCCTGAAAACAAAACGCGTGCTGGGCCCATGAAGATAGGCACCCCAGACAGGTTCTGCTTTGTTTTCCGCAGGGAATTCTCAGACCAGGGTGCTATCCTAAGGCTTCCAAGAGGTACTCAGGATGTGGGGTGGGGTGGGCATGAAGAGGTTCCAGCAAAGAGAGTTGCCAGGGAAAGGACCCTTGCCAGTGCCCGTGCTCTGCTCGCCCGGGGGCTGCGAAGTGCGGGGTTGCTCGAGTAGCCAAGAGGTCCCGGTTCCAGCTGGAGCCAGGTGACAGAAGGGGGACTCAGCCTTTTCCGCACTGCTGTGGCTCCGGCCTGGCCCCGCAGCCCTCGTGGCGAAGTGCGGAGCTTGCCCTCTCTTCCCGGGAACGGAGGAGGCAGATTTCCATGTTTCTCCACCCGCTCCCCCAGGAGAGAATAGGGCAGGGCCTCCAGTTTTGCTGCTGCTGGGTCTTCCTAGCCTGGTGAGCCCGGGGTGAGAAAGCGGGAAAGCCCTACCCCCCAATAGGAAGTGGGGAGACCGGTAAGCTGCAGCCTAAACAAACATCAGCTTCCCTTCTGCTGAGCCCAGTGTTCTGGGTTCTGGCATCTCTAGTTCCCAGATTTACTCTGACATACATCAACACTTTCTGGTCAAACTCTTTTTAAAAGACCACAGCAATTCCCCAAGCTCTTCCCAGATAACCTCAAAGACTGTGGAAGAGAAAGAACCCAGAGAACCCTCAGCAAGTCTATGGAGGCCTACGAGGTACGCCTGCCTTAGACTGGGCATTCTGGGGAATACAGAGACGAAGGGTGAGGACATGCAGTACTCACAGTCTAGACAAGACGCCCACATCAGTATCACCCAGGGGTCAGCGCCTGGGCCAGGAACTGTGGGAGGAGAGAGAAGACAGACTTCCTGGAGGAGGAAGCATTTGAGGTGATCTTGAAGGATGGAAGGGGCTTCTCCTATGGAGTAGAGAGCTGAGAAGTGTGTGATGGGAGGGGTGGCGGAGAGGGATGGGTGTCCCCACTGACCTCTGCCAGCACTGACCTAGCCCTGGTTGGCTCAAAGTGTGCAGGAAGCTTATGGGGTGAGGAGGGGTACTCTGGAGTATAGTTGAAGATATGGGGTCCTTCAAGGGCTGAGGCTCTGATGAGATTTCACCACTCTGAATCCATTGCTTGAGCCCTGGAAGGGCTTAATTTTTGGAAATTGAAGTGCTATAATAAGAAACAAAAAGAAGAAAAGAAACAAATTCCATCCACATATAATCCCCAGTGACCTGCCCAAGGCAATATTGAAACAAGGAATGTATTTGTGTGGGTAACCTTACCTTTGTCAGACAGGGCTGTTAAATGTCCTGGCTGCCTGTTGTTGAACCTGAATATCAAAAGCTTCTTTAGAAAAGGAGCTAAATTGTCCTGTTCATTGAGAGGGAGCCTGGCCCCCAGTCCTGGATGAAGGCGGGCCAGAGCCCTGCCTTTGCCTCCCAGGGCTCTCACTCTCCCACTTTCTTCCCAAGGTGCTTTCCTCATCCCTTACCTGATGATGCTGGCTCTGGCCGGATTGCCTATCTTCTTCCTAGAGGTGTCACTGGGCCAGTTTGCTAGCCAGGGGCCAGTGTCTGTGTGGAAGGCCATTCCAGCTCTGCAAGGTAAGTCCAGCCTGCCTCCCAGCCTTTTCAGCCTCTTCCCCTGCCCTCTCTGGCACCGTGCAGCCCCAGGGAGGGAGAGCCACTTTTGTAATCAATAGAACACATTCCTTTATCTGATCCTTCTGAAGAATGGCTTTAGATCATCTCTGGCATTGTTGAGTTCCTGGGGGAATGCCTCAATGTCCCCTGTCCACACAGAGTCCACTTTACTATTCGTCATCTGTCTGTACCAGAGAGCCAAGACATAGGTCCCTACCACTGTAAGAATTCCATAAGGTTTGGCATAGAATGAATCCCTGGAATTTTTGCTTCTGCAGGCTGTGGCATCGCGATGTTGATCATCTCCGTCCTAATAGCCATATACTACAATGTGATTATTTGCTACACACTTTTCTACCTATTTGCCTCCTTTGTGTCTGTGCTACCCTGGGGCTCCTGCAACAACCCTTGGAACACACCAGACTGCAAAGATAAAACCAAACTTCTATTAGGTAAGTTTGGAAATACCTGGTTTCGGTGTGTGTATTCCGAACCATTCATTCATTCATTCAACAAAGTAAACTGAGCGAGTACATGGGGGAAAATGTCACCTGGGCCCTATCACAGCTGCTAGGGGTCCAGAGACTAAAACAAACACCAAACACACTTAATTCTCCTCATGGAGGGGTAATCAAATTTTTGTTTGTGTATGAATAACTATTTGTTAAAATGCAGGTTTTCACAGGGCCACGGTAGAATCTGATTTATAGATCTGGGTTTGGGTGAGCCTAGGAAATGGGTACTTAGTAAAGCTCTCTAGAATCTTATTTTGTTTTATAGTGTGTTTCTAGTGGGAGGTGGTTAGAAGCCCCACTGTAGCTTTTTTAAAAGAGAGTTTGCATTTTAACTCTATTCCCAGGTGACTTGTCTGCATGGTACAATTTGAAATGTATTGCTCATTGGATACTTTTTCTTCCATTCTTGGGATACTTTGTACTCAGCCCTACTATGAAACTAATTTATAGCTTTCATAGGAAAGCTATAACCCAAGTTTAGCCCAGGAACATGGGGAAGGGGAGAGGGAGGAGAGGGCAGAGGGAGGGTGATTGGCGGGATCACGCCTATGGTTCATCCTATAAGGGTACATGTGAATCTCTCTAAATGAAGAATATAAATGTCTTAACACAATAACTAAGAAAAAGACATGAAGGCTGTGTTAACCAGTTGGATGGAAGTACTTCAAACTGCATAGAGAAACAGTACACTGTACTCCATGATAGTACTAATGTACACTGTTATGATTTAAAAATAAAATAAAAAAAAAATGAAATGTGATGCTCTAGGTCCCAGAGTCTAGGAGCCTGGTCCTGGGCCCAGACTGACCAAACTGCTCAGTACGTGAGGTGAGTGTGAGCACAGGCTCTTGCACTTACGCCTCTGTAGAAATGGGCCTCAGGTGGCACCTGCAAGAGCGCGAGTCCCCTGGGGAGTCAGAGAGTGTCCCTGGAAGATGTTTCAGGTGTAAAATAGATTGAGACTTGAGGACTTGGGGAAAACCGTCAGCTTCTTGGGTTAAGGGCAAGAGACTCAGTGGGATAAAGAGCATGGCAGGTATGTCAGAAAAACTTTCTGGTCTGGTCTAAGACATCTTTGCCACTGACTCTATGTGTGTCTGAGTCATGTAACCTCCTTGGGTCTTTCCTCATCTGAAAAACAGAAATACTATTCCTCACCCTATATCCTATACGGGATTGCCGTAAGAACAGATGTGAGGGCCATGATAGAGCTGCAGAATTATAAAGCTCTCCCACAAATAGAAAGTGCTATTATCAGTCACTTTGGAAAACACTGGTCATTTTAATGGGGACCTAGAAACAAGTAGTTTCTTCTTTTGCTAGTAGATGTGCACACTCTCAACTGGGTCTGTTCTGAAGTCAGCTTTCTGCGGTGTCTATAGGATCGGCTCTTGGTGTTGCCCTCCAGGACCAGCTTTTTTCCCCAGAAGTCTGTGCATTGCAGAATTAGCACATTATTTAAGCCTTTGAGTGTGTTAAGGACAAAAGACGAATTCTTCCCTCCCATATTCTCAGGGAGATGCCAGATGCCATTCTTCTCCCCCTTCTTTTTTTAAATTCCAGATTAATATAAGGGCACATACAATTGGGTTACATCGTTTGCATTTGCTAGGTAGTATGAGATGCTATTCTTTTCTACATTTTCTATCATGTATGTGGGTTTGTTTTATAGTCTGCATGGATATGTGTGTGTGTGTATGTTTTAAAGCAAGCTGAGCATGGTAACTGGGCCAAGCATGGGGGCGGGGTCCACGAGGCAGAGAGGACCTTGCCCCTGGTTTCTAGTCTGGTGCATAATCACCCAAGAAGCATGAAAGGCAGAGTAAGGATGTTACACAGCTAAGCTCCTAGTGGACTGGTTTAAACCATAAAAACTAGGCAAGCTCTGAGTAGAAAGAGACAATGGACATTTTTCACTCTTCTTTCTCCCTGAGAGTGTATGGACAGACTGGGAAGATCCGATCTCATTCATGGCCAGTGCTTTAATTTTTGGGTAAAATACCAGGTGTCACTCCCCTCTCTGTTTGTGCAGCACTCCCCGTTTGTCATTCTCTGCTATCTGTAGGTGAACATGTTCTGCTTCTTGGGCCAGGCTTTCCCTCGTGGATTATGGTCCTTTGGGGGTTCTGGAGTGCCTTAGATTAAAAAAAAAAAGCGATGGTGGCTTGTTCATAGAGACATGGGCAGCTTTAGAGCCTCACTGCTTTGCTGGAAAAATTGGGAGTCCAGACAATGGCCATATCCAGCCTAAGGGTCTCCCAAATGGACATTCTGAGCACAGCTCACCTTCTTTCTCCCTCACAACCCACACCCTATGACATCTGCCCAAAAGGACTCATCCCCGGAGAGAGGGGATACATGGCCCGCCATTGCCACGTTCCTTCACAGCAGAGACGTTTGTGCCATGCTCCTCTCACTGCTGCTAGGGACATATGCCTGTGAGCTCTATGTCATCATGGAGATGCCAGGGCACCCATTGCACTCCAGCTCCAGAGGTAAAACCCTGGACCTGTCTGCGGGTGAGGCCTAAGTTTGTAGGAAAGGCTGTTTTCTTTAGGGTGCCTCAACCCTGCAGGTATTCGTAATGGAGAACGACTAATCTGTGCCCTGCCAAGTGAGACCAGTGGCTGCTTTGTGAAAATAGGAGCTAGCTGGGTCCCATAAAATGGAAACAGCATAAATACCATTTCTATTTCTGGAACGGCTTAATTTTCATTAGAACTTTAATTAAATGATTCCTTTTCTCCCTGGTCTTTCATGTGCTTTCATTTATTAATAATTGCCTGAGTAAAGAGAATCCCATTCCAACAGCTTCCAATTTCGCAGGATCATTATCGCTGTTCTTTGTTCGGGGTTGCTGGGCCGCAGAGCTCTCAGATAAGGCCCATCATTCCCTTGCTCCCGCGCCTGAAGGCGCCGTGTGCTGGGAAGCGTGCTCCTGCCGCCCAGTGGTAGATAAGGATATTGCAGGAGGCTTGGAAATGCGAGAGCCAGAGAGCCAGACCTGGTGCATTGCCGCAGGGACCGTGACCTTGTACCGCAGTTGCCGGCAGAGATCCACAGACATCCAGAGACGCTCTCTAGGGAAGCTGCCTGCTTGCTTCACAATGGCAATTTGGGAAGCAAGGATTTGGCGTTTGCTCTTGTGTTAATGGTCTCTGCATTCTTAGGGAGGTGGATGCACTTTTTGGAAGAAGGGCCTGTACTAACATATGCGCTTATTTACAGAAGAGAGGTGCGGATGGTTCTCTAATTGCATTCATCAGGTAGCTGCTGGGGGAAACAAAAGCTTCCCCGTAAATATCTGATAGTTATTAGGAGGGAAATCTCCTGAAACTGTTATTTGATTAGACTAAAGAAGATCATTGAATGGGAAGGTACTGGAAGGCCTTTCAAGCAGAGATTCTGAACGAGGGGAGACTTTACAGGGGACATGAGAGACTTTTTCAGAGACTTTTTTGTTGTTGTTGTGACCCCACGGGGATGTGCAGATGCTCCTGGAATTTAGTGGGCCGAGGCCAGGGATGTAGTTAAATATCCCCCCTCCCCAATGCACAGGACAGACACACAACAAAGAATTATGGGACCCCAAATGTCATTAGTGCCATGGATGAAAAATCCTAGTCTAAAGAACTAATCAAAGGGGAGCGATTCTTAAGATTGTTGTTTTAATTTTTCCCCAATATTCCAAGAAATTCAGGGGAATATGGTAATTTATGGCAGGCAAGTGGGCTTGTGACAATTAGGTTTGTGAGCTCACGTAAGAAAAAGTACCATATACCTCATTGCTGAATATCACTACAGACACCCTCAAAGGACTCCCCCTGACCATCTGGTGACCATAGTGATACTGAGCAATGAGTTATGTAGCACTATTTCTAGGATGAGTCCACCAACATAATTGTCTGACTTCATACATCAATTTTTTTTAAATACTGAAAAAAAAAAAAAAAAGAACTGAGCACAGTCAGATGTAGAAGAACCAGAGAACTCTGTTTCCTTCATGGGTTCCCCCACTCCACACAGCAGCTCCTTGTACAGATAGCAAAGGCTCATGTTTATGGAGCCCTGAATTATATAGCACTTTTTTTAGGCTGGAAGATGATGTTGAGGAGTAAAGATGCTCACTCCCTAACAAGGTACAACAATGATGATTGAATTATGGCTATAATTTACTGAGGGCCAACCATTGCCAGGCATCTTGTGAAATTTTTTTCATTAATGATCTCATTTAATTTGGTCCTTGCAAAAACCTTGTGCAAACTCTTACCAGAAAATGGAGGCTCAGACAGATAAAGGAACTTGTCCAAGCTCTCAGGGCTAGGATCGTTCCTGAGCCCTGCAGTTCCATACAAGGCATAAATTAGGAGTCCATGCACCGCATCTAGATTGCATATGTTTTTGCTTTGTTGTTCATGGTAATTAAAAAGAACTTTAACTAGTTTCTGATGTTTTAAAATGGAGAGATTTCATGTAAACATCCAGAGTTTCTGCATCTTTTGCCACAACATCTGGAAAAGCTTGGCACTGCAGTACTCTCTGCTTTGCCACAGTCCCCACCTCCCCCTATTACCCTTGACGTTATGCCTTCCTTATTTGTGTCACCAGCCTGGCCTCTGTAGGTGGCTGAGTCCATGAGCCCTGCTCTATACTTCACAATAGAGTGGTTACCAGCATGGACTCCAAAAAGAGAGGCTTGTTTGCATCCTGGGTTGATATATGACCTTGGCAAACACTTGCATCTCTCTGTGCCTCAGTTTCTTCATTTTAACACAGAGATAATAACAGTACTTATCTCATAGTACTGGTGGTGTGAGGCTTAAATTAACTGATGCATGAAAAGCACTTAAAACAGTGCGTTAGACATAAGTACTGTGTAAGTGTTAGTTTTTTTTTTTACTCTTTGCTTTTTTACAAAATAATATCCTTTGGGATTGGTCATGGTGGATTCTTTATTTGAAATATCTGTCTGTTTATAAATATCTTAAAGCTGTTTGGGAGGAATTATAATATAGACAGAAAGACTTTAGGTTCATCCTTTTTTTGTTGTTTTTTGAGACAGAGTCTCATTTTATCACCCTCGGTAGAGTGCTGTGGCGTCACAGCTCACAGCAACCCCCAACTCCTGGGCTTAGGTGATTCTCTTGCCTTAGCCTCCTGAGTAGCTGGGACTACAGGCGCCCTCCACAATGCCCAGCTAAGGTTCTTCCTATTTAAAATGCAGATGATAATATGTACCTCCTGGGTTTTATGGGGATTTCATGAGATAGTAATTGTCAAAGTGCCCAGCACAGTGCCTGACATACTGAGACTCACAAGGTTAATTTCCTTTCCCCATCCTAGCCTAGGTCAGACCTTCTCAACTATTGACAATTTGGTTTCCTCGATGTAACAGCTAAAAATGTCTCCAGATATTGCTGAATGTCCCCAAGGGGAAAATTTGTCCCCGGTTGAGTACCACTGTGTTAGGTGGTTAGCATATTATAGGCTCACCAACACACAGTGTGGCTACTGCCTCTGCTAACCCACATGACAGCAGAAGGAACATGCTCATATATCTCGTTACCGTATGTCGGCCATGGTGCCAGGCGTGGGGCCAAGATGAACTTATCAGTGAGTCTTCTGTAGGCAAGAGGTTGGTTTATCCCTAATTAAATTCATTCCTGCAATTCATTTGTTTTCTGTAGAGTCATAAATCCCATTAGCTGTCTGATTTCAACAGAGTTACTCAACCTCCTTAAGCCTGTTTTTTTATTTTAAAAATGGAGGTAATACTACCTACCACATAGGCTGATATGAGGATTAAATGAAGTAATACATTTAAAAAGCTGAGAGTGCTCCATAAACATGAGCCTTTGCTATCTGCACAAGTGCTGTGGGGACTGGGGGAACCGAAGAAGGAAACAGAATTCTCTGGTCTGTCTACATTTTACTTTGCTCAGTTACTATTTGTTGTTTTTGGTATTTAAACATTTGATACATGAGGTCAGACAATAAGTTGGTGGACTTATCCTAGAACAAGTGCTAGATAACTCATGGCTCAGTATCACTACGGTCACCAGATGGCCACGGGGAGTACTTTGAAGGTGACTAGCGATATTCTGCAATGAGATGTATAGTATTTTTTCTTGTGAGAGCCCCTAAACGTAATTGTCAGACCTGATACATATTACAGTTGCACATATTTGGGGGGTATAAGTAACATTTTGATTCTGCATACCATGTGTAATGCTCAAATCAAGATAATTGGGACATCCATCACCTCAAACATCTATCCTTTCCTTGTGTTGGGAATATTGCGATTCTTCTAGTGATTTTGAAATACATGATGCATTATTGTTAACCGGTTGATACTTTCTCAAAGTTACCCTCCAATGTTTCTGCCTTTTGTTTTTAAACCCGCAGAGAGGGACCTGTGTATCTTTTCTGTGCAGATTTCACTGTCTCTATACCACCCTCTCCTAAACAGATTCCTGTGTTATCAGTGACCATCCCAAAGTACAGATCAAGAACTCAACTTTCTGCATGACTGCCTATCCCAACTTGACAATGGTTAATTTCACCAGCCAGGCCAATAAGACGTTTGTCAGTGGAAGCGAAGAGTATTTCAAGTAAGATGGCTTTTTTTTTTTCTTTCCAAGAGGAATCCAGTGAATTAATAAACATTCAGTTTGTAGACCAGAGGTGTGGATGGCCCAAAGGATGGGATCAGGGAGGAAGACTTTTTTCCTGCTTTGGTTTCCAAGAGCAGAGGGTGACGTCTTGTGGGCTTGGGGAAGACAGTTGGTTAAATGATGTAGGGTGGGAATAGAACCCATGCTGCAGAGATTCAAGATGCTGATGAAAAAACATTTGAAAAGCTTGATCCAGCGTGATCTTAGCAGACCTTAGTTAACCAGATGACTTTTTTTTATCTGTCCGGGACAAGAGCCAATAAAACAGGTTATGGTCAAAGTTTTAGTTTTCTTTCTTTCTTTCTCTTCTTTTTTTTCTTTTAGTTTCACCTTAGCTTTGTGCTTTCTACATCTGTGTTGCAGGACATGAGAGAAGTGAGGTTCAGGGATACTAGGAGGTCCTTAGGTACTACAGGAAGATTGAGTAAAGTTCATGAAATTCTTTTCTTTTCTTTTCTTTCTTTCTTTCTTTCTTTTTTTTTTTTTTTGCAATAGAGTCTCACTCCATCACCCTGGGTAGAGTGCTATGGCATTATCATAGCTCACAGCAACCTCAAACTCTTGGGCTCAAGTGATCCTCTTGCCTCATCCTCCCAATTACCTGGGACTACAGGCACCTGCCACAGTGCCCTGCTAATTTTTCTATTTTTAATACAGACTGGGTCTGTCTCTTGCTCAGGCTGGTCTCCAACTCCTGAGCTCAGGCAATCTACCTGCCTTGGCCCTCCAGAGTGCTAGGATTACAGGCATGAACCACCACAACCAACCTATCAAATTATTTCTTAGGGGAGGCAAATATAGACAGAGTTTAATAGAGAGTCAACAAAGAATGTTCCCCTAGGCTGAGCTTTAAGTCAGGGGTTGTAAACTCAAATGTGTTCAGAGGACTTGGAGGGAACTTAAGGGAGTAAAGTGCAAGTGAGTGACAGAGAGTGGTGGGGACTGCGGCAAACTGAAGAGCTGCCTGCCTCCTGCAAGGGAGGCCGCTGGTGCTCGGTTTCAACTGATCGCTGCCTTGGGGAAACATGGGCTAGTGCTCCCAGAGCTTTCATTTTCCAAGAGAAGTTGGAAATAAAAATCTGGATTTGTATGTGATCCTTCCTGTCTTAAATGTTAGCAAAATAATTCAAATAGAACACTCGTTTAAATAAAATGCATACATTAGTAGGCCCCAGTTTGTGGCCTTTACTTAGAAAATGAGAAAGGTTTGCAAATACCCCCACCATTCTCCCAGTGGCCATTAATTCTTACTTTAGGTTTTTGTCCCATCCAGACTCAGAGGATACAATGGTTGATTGAATAGTTCTGTCTGAAAACCAGGGGTGGTAGAGGTGGGCACTTTGAGCACTGATTGAGTCTGACCTGATGGTGCAATGAAATGTGATCACAGAACCTGGGCAGTTGGTTACACTAGAAAATGATTGTGAACCTGCTTTGGGTGGTCTTTACTAACCTCTGGGGCTAGTCTTAATTTCTAAGAAGAAATGTCATCAGGAGCTTCCTGGGACTTGTCCAAGGTTCCTTACTGAAGCATGGAACAGTGAGATGGCTGGAATTGCTGACTATGTGGTTTACCCATTTGGGGGATGGAACACGGGAAGGGCCTTTTCTAGCTTGGGAGATATGGTCCCCTTGGTTTGGCCTTGGAGGCGAGTTCAAGGTCAGCTTGATCAGTCCTACTCAATTCTGAGCCCAGGTTGTGCCAGGGTTGGGATGGAAAGAAGCTCTGTCTGCACAGATCGTGGCCATCCCTGGTCTGTAAAGGATGGCTGTGTGCTGCCAAACAGCCTCTCCAGGTCAGTGGCTAGACCAGGAGTAGGGCTGCTGCTTCTATTTCTCTCAGCAGATCAGGACGTTCTGGGTCATCATCGTCTTGCAGAGTCTGGGCTATCTCATCCTTTGTTCAGGTCATAGAAAAATGTCAGCCTACAACCAGAGCAGTTTCATACAGGAGGCATGGCTAGATGGTTACAGAGTTAAAGGAATTGTCTGAATCTGTTCTCAGGCACTGTCCCTGAAGCTGCCTCCTGTACTCAGCCAGACTCTACTACTTCTCCATCGCTACACCAGTTGCCAGAACCGGCTGTAGATGATTCTGTTGGCAGCTCCTCATCTATCTTTGAATGCACTCCTTGAACAAGGCCTAGGCAGCCTGCTTTTGCATGTTAGCTAGCCTCAGCCTCAGGTGCACCCAACACAACTCGAAATAAAGTCCAGAGCTGCCCAGGTTCTGTCATTTAGCATATGCCGTTTTCACTATGTGCTAATTTTTTAAAATTTAAAACGTGAAAATACTTTCAGAATATGTTTTCACAAAAGAGCAGAGCAATATGGAAACCACACAAAAGTCAACCCTTGACAGTTTAGTGTTTTTATTGCACTTCTGGGACAGCTCCAAGTGACAGTGAAATTGGCAGTCTCGAGTAGAAGCCTGCCTGGGGCCACAAGTGGCCTCCCAGCACATGATCAAAGGTGGGTTAAGTCCAGTTGTTGTCTCTGCAGAAAGCCATGGGCAAGAGCACAGACCAGCAAATCCCCCATGCCCTAATCTGATTGGGTTCCTGATAGGGAGAGGGGTGTTGCTGGGGTTTGGGTCAAGGCTCCTGGCTCTGCTGGGAGATTGAACCTGCCTCTCTCCTCTCCCTCCCTCCTTCCTTCCTTCTCTTCTCTTTCCCGTTCTCAGGTATTTTGTGCTGAAGATTTCTGCAGGGATTGAATATCCTGGTGAGATCAGATGGCCGTTAGCCTTCTGCCTCTTCCTGGCTTGGGTAATTGTGTACGCATCCCTGGCTAAAGGAATCAAGACTTCAGGAAAAGTAAGAACTTAGATTTATCTAAGTATGAAAAAGTTCTGAGACATCTGGGGGTGGTTGTATCATGGAACAGGCCGAGTTCGGAGAAGAGAATCAGGAGTCGTGCATGCTAACTCTGACCACCCTGGAGCAGTAGAGGGGCTGTGGGCCAGTGACTTCACGGCCATCTGTAAAGTGGGGTAATAATACTTTTCTTGCTGGACTATCTTAAGCTTCAATGAGACAAATGTGTATTTGGCTCCCATCCCTTGGGGATACTATGATTCCTTTCCTTCCTTTTCTCTCTGGAGCTCTCATTCACTCATCAGAAGAGACCTCCCTGATGTCATTAGTCACTTTCCCTAAATTCTAGAATTTTTGCTGTTATTTTTTGGCCTCTTGGTCTGGCTGCCAGGTCAGTTACTGCTTCTGTCAAGAAGCTGGATGAAGATCAACACTGTGGAGTAGGTTCCCTTTCCTCCCTCCTGGCCACTGCGTTCTTGGCTTTCTTACCTTCCTTTCCATGCCCAGCCTGACACTCTTCCACCCAACGGGCTGCCAGCACTGAAGAAGGACAGGTCTGCCCATGGGGTTTTGGCTGAGCAAATACTGGACTGGGCCCTTTGCAGATAACGAAACTCAAGCCACAGAAGTTGAGGCATCCAGGGAGCCTCAGCGGCCCTGAGCATTGCCGTGAGAGTCACAGTAACATGTTCCATCTTTCTGCTGCCTTAGCAAAGCCCTGTTGAAGGGTTCCCCAACTGCCCCAATGACAACCAATAATATTTCACCACCCCAGGAGGCATTTCCATCTTTCAGAATAAAAGTGAAAATGTCTTTAAGACCCAAGGAATGAGGGTGGACTGGTGGACTTGGAGACCGTGGGTTGTAAAGTTGAGCTTTGGGCTGGTTACCCAGACCCGGGCTCACTGGGGTCACATTACAGCCAGCCAACCACAGAAGGGTCAGGCCGTATGGGCAGGGTGGTCTGTGCCATCCTCCACCCTCAGGCATGCTTCACGCCCCCACCCAGCACCCAGACTGGTGCCCACCAGCTGCTAGCCCAACCGGTTTCTCTCTGGGCACGCGGACATGAGCGTAGGTGCCTTTTCATTATAGCGCTTACCGGTGCCTTCTGTCGAATCTACATAGGATGCAGGCACTGGAGCAATGGACTTCGGCAGGTTTGGCAGGGTTACCTGAGGCAGGAGGGGCGTCTGAAATGACATGGTGTGGGAGGATCAAGCCAGCTAGAGAACCAGGCTGAGAGTGAGGAGCCCTGGGTTCCTGTCCCCCAGCTCCCTGTGGGCAGTGAAACTTGGCAGAGCTCCAATTTGCTCTTATCTTTAATTTCGTTTCTTTTTCTTTTTTTGCTAATAAATAAGAAGGAAATTTTCTTCTTCTAGCTATTTCAGGTGTCCTCAGTGTCCTCATTTCTAAGGTGAAGGCAGTTGGATGGCACCATGTCTACAGCCTTCCAGTTTTTACACTGCTCTGTTGGAACACTTGCTGGGGGCTTCTTTTATCTCTGACCTCAGTTTCCCCTTCTGTAAAGTGAGAGGTGACATGAAGTGGCCCCTGAGGACTCTGTTGTTGACTCTGACCCTTTGTTTGGTGTTGTTGTTGCAGCTTGGCTGGGGCCGGGTTTGAACCCGCCATGCTCGGTATATGGGGCCAGTGTCCCACTCACTGAGCCACAGGTGTCACCCTTATTATTATTATTATTATTATTATTTTGGCCAGGGCTATTAGTTTTAACCTGCCACCTCTGGCATATGGGGCTGGGCCCTACTCCTTTGAGCCACAGGCACCGCCCATCATTATTATTATTTTTGTAAGCAAAACTCTAGGTATTCTTTGTGACAAGCTATACTACATTAATGTCATCATTAATGTGACGTTAATGTGAATGCTATGAGGCTGGACTGATTGCATTTCTAAGGCTCCAGGGAGATGAGGAAGTGTTACTGTGATCCTTATAACAGTGCCCATGAGACCTGAGGTTTCCTGGATTCCTCGCCTCTGTAGCTTCCCAGGGAGCTGTGGGAGTTTCATCACTTCCAAGGGGATAAGCCAAGCAATTGCTCATCAAGACTAGCCAAGTATTTGCTCAGCCAAAATCCCGCTGGTAGGACTGTCACTTATGACTAGGGATGGAGACAAGATGACCTCAGCCATGGTCTAAGTGACCAGACAGGTGTCTAGTGGGACAGGCTGGAAGGTGTGACTGGCAGGAAAAGACATGATAAACAAGGAGGGTGAGAAGGTGGCCTCCTTGGTGACATGAGGAAGGGTGGCCTGGTGGCTCTACGGTCAGACCAATCTGAATTCAAATCTTGACTTCATCACTTTCTGTTTATGTCACTCTGGCAAAGCTATTGAACCTTTGAAATCCGTTCCTTACTTTGTGAATTGGGGGGAACAGTTCTTAGCCCATAGGATTGCCGTAAGGATTATATGAGATAGCGCATGTCAATACCTATTGTATGCGCAATTCTTAATTCACATTAACTCCTCTCATTTTTATTTTTATGAATGGCTGGTCTGTTGAGTGGGTATTGTACCATTTTGACTGATATCTTGAGAGTAATGGCTTAGATGGGGAAAATGGGAAGAGAAAGAGAGCTTTGTGCACACTATGTACACCAGGCACTGTGCTGACAGCTTCCTATGTGTTAGTTCATTCAGTCTTCACAACATCTTGCCTGGAGAGTACAATTATTCCCACTTTATAAATAGAGAAACTGAGGCACAACATGGTAGAGTAAATTGCCTGAGTCACACAGCTCTTCAGTGGCAATGGTGGGCTTTGGACCTGGGTGTTTTTCTTTAAAGCCTAAACTCTTTCCAGTACCTGGTGTTCTCTCCCAGGAAGGGGCTTTTAGGAACAGACAGGAAATGCAGGATCATGTAGTCGGCATTTGCATGTTGGGGTGACAGTCCCCCGTGTGAATCAGGACCCCTGCATTCTGCTGTCTTTTGCTGTGTGACTTTGTGCAAGTCACAGGATGCCTCTCATTTTCTTTATCTGCAAAATCCAAGGTTAGAATAAATGTTTTTTTCTGTGCTTTTTTGGAACACAGAGATAGTCATTTCTTTCCACGGATTTAGAGTTTAATCCTTGGCACCAGGTTTTCTAGGCTTTCTGGCATAGGGAGTTTTTAGCAGGTAAGTTTTTCTTTTAGCCCTGTCAAATTATTTCTCTGCTTCGTTGAGAAAGGTTTCCAAACAGAGATCAATGACCATTTTTTTAAAAAAATGAGGAATACAACCAAATATAATGAATCACAATTTATTATGGTGTCCCAGGCCCTGCAGACATTAATCATGGAACATTATTTGGGAGCTAAGGTGAACGCACCACTGAAGCCGCGCATTAGAACAAACTGAAATACTGTGAACGTTGTCATTTCTATGCATTGTTATTTTTCCTGCAGCAAGATACGCTCAGTTCCTCTCGTTCAGGGCTCGAGGAGAAGGCATAGGCCAGTTGCTTCTTCTCAGACTGAAGCCTTTGAGCAGTTCAAATCCCAGAGGCTGGGGTGACCAGCAGGCAGCCTGAAGGTCGTATGCAGCCCGCCTGACCTCAGGGCTCCTCTTTGCCTGAGCCTTATGACAACAAAGCACAGCTAACCTAATTAGTTTGCACTGGCTGGTGGGGCCTTACCACCTGTTCAGGGCTCCCATGGAGGTGTCAGGCCAACAGGCTCAGATCAGCTAGTCACTGTCATTCCTGCCAAGTGTAATTCATTACTGTTCAAGTCTAATTCCTCTGACAGTACATGCTGAAACAGGTGCATGCTAAAGCCCCCTTGACTCAAGGGAACTAGCTGTGCAGACAGCCTCCATGTACACCTGATGCACACGGGGGCGTCCGCAGGATTGATGAGCCATATTTTTGGCCCTCTCAGTTCCATCACCATCTACAGAGTGAGTGTGAGCACGTGCCTGGGGTGCAGAATTGAGAGAGGCCCTCACTCTCATGGTTCCTGCGAGGGAAGGGATGGCACCTGGGAGTGGTGCCTCCTTTAAATTCTGCACCCTAGGCGCCTCATTTGCCTTACCCTGCCGTGAACATCTCTGCTCATGTGGCCCAAACAATGGCGGTCATGGAAAGAATGGCTGTGGAGTGGGAAAGCTTCAGGTTTGGAAGTTGGTTCAAGGTGGGAGACCTTGAGTGAGATATTGAATCCCTTGTGAGAGGTTTAACCTGCACCTTAGTTTCCCCTCTCTGCAATATTCCTGGTCCCTTGAGGGAGCTCCAGACACAGTGGTGTCCAAACAGTTTCTGCTGTCAGATGGGAACCGTTGTCTCAGCTGGTTAGACTGGGACCAGCCTTGGAGGTTTTCTCTTGCAGGTCACTGCTGCCCAGGTCATCTCCTCTCCTGCACCTCTTCCTGCCATCCTCACTTCCCTTCCTTTCCACCCAGGTGGTCAGGGGATAGAAAGGACACTCCTTAGTTGCCCCCAGTCCCACCTCTGTGGTGTCTTGGTGGGGGTGAGAAGTCAGACTGGTCAGAGTCTGCCCTGCCCCTTAGCATCTCCTGTCCCCCACCACATCTGGTTGCTGGGAGGCCACCCCTGAGATGTCATAGGCCCTTGGGTCCCATAATGCTGTGTGTGTGTTTGGGGGGGGGCTTCACTTCCCCTTCAGACTTTAAGGAGGAAGGAGAGAAGTAGGAAGGAGCTGGCTGCTCCTCCAAGTTCCCCCTCCCCTCAATCCCTAGCAATGCAAGTTTTTCCTGACAAGGAGGGAGGAGAGACTCCTCCTTGTAGGGCAGGGAAGGGACATCCTGCTCAGTGGTGTGGCCATGAGGAGAAGAGGGGGCAGCCTGTCCCTGCTTCTGCAGCCAGAAACCCAGGTTGGCCTTGGGTTTAGAGACAGAAGGGACTTCAGCCAGCTTTTCAGCAGCTGAGGTCCCAAACTTGGGCGTCATCCTGACTCTTCTCTGGAACTCCACCGTAAAACTGTCAGGAAATTCTGGTGGCTCTTCTGACAAATATACCTGAGATCTGTCTCTTACCAGCTCCACTGACAACACCCCAGATGGAGCTGTCCCCGTTCCTTGCCTGGTGGCTGCTGTGGCCTCCACACCGCTGTGGTCTCCACACCGCTGTCCTCACTTCTCTCCTGCGCCCACTCTGTGGTATAATCATAAAGTGGCAACCGGGCAATGCTGTTCAAATGTTAGATCATGTAACTCCTCTGCCCAAATTCCTGTCTTACCCCCGCCCCTGTTGTTTCCCACTGGGTAGACTCTGTGGGGTCCACACCTCCCACCCTCACCCTACCCGTCTGAGCTCCCCTCTGCGGCCACCCCACCTCCTTGCTGCTCCTGGGCAGCAGGGACTCCTTTCTTAGGTCTGTTATTCTAGCAGTTCCCTCTCTGGAATGTTCTCACAGATATTCATTGGCTCACACTCACTTTCTTGGAGTCTCGGCCAACTTTTCAATGAGACCCTCCTTCCCAGCCATCCTCCCCGGCATGCCCCATCCCCTTACCGGGCTCTGGTTTTTCTTTCTTCCAGTGCCCATATCACCTTCCAGTACAACACAAAGGTTGTCTATCTCCCCAGTTAGAATATAAGTTATTATTCCAGGGCAGGGGTCTTGGATTTGTTTACTAATATGTCCCCAATGTTTGACTGTGCCTGGCACACATTAGATGCTCTGAATATGTAATTACATATGTAAATACGTGTATTTATTTGAATAAATGACCCTAAGAGTTATATCTAATTTCTGCTCTCATGTTTCCCAACTCATTCCACCCCTCCCAACAAGCCCCTGGATCCATCTTCATCCCTTGAAGTCCCTCCAGACACTCGAGTCTGTGCAGCCAGTGTGTGGTGGGGGCTCTGTACCCCTCTCACCCAGGCAGGTGTTCTAGTGGTCCAGAATGAGGGATGGTGGGTGGGAGCGGAGGTGACTCTGAATAAACAGTGCTTACCCCATGGACCAGAGAGAGCTTTAGGGGCCAGATGGGAGCTTAACCTCATCCACCCAAATGTCTTTCCATGTGCTTTTGGGATGTAGCCTCCTTGTGAGCTGGGGGTTGTCAGTGGTATTAAACTGGGACTTCTGTTTCCACTGCCCCCAGGTCGTGCCACTGCATGGATGGCAGCACTGTCAAAATTGCTGTTTTGCAGGTGTGAAGCTCAGCGATCCAGAGAGGTTGAGTCATTTCCCAGAGTGACCCAGCCTATAATTGCTGGAGTCAGGATTTGGGCACAGATTCTGGGTCTCCAGAGCCTGACCTCCCAGTCTGCTCTTCCCCCCAGACCTAGTCCTGAGCGCTCCTTCACCCTGAGGCTTGATGGACAAGAAAGGGAGGACAGGACCTCTAACCCATCCTTATCCAACTGACCCCGAATTCTGCAGAAGTCACCTCCCAAATGTTTCTTGACTCTCGTTCTTCTGTCTCTTCCAGCATCGGGGAGCACCCTCTGGAGGGCACTCAAGGCCTCTCCTGACGTGGTCTCCTCCGATGGTCTTTAGGCTCCCTTTCCACTGCAGGTGGCCTTGACTTTATGCTGTTCTGGTAGTGTGTGTGGATGCTCTGCTCTCAGACACCTGCCCACCTTCCACACCTCCTTTAAGTTGCACTTGCCCTCTAAGATCTGCTCAGGTATAATTTCCATACACTTTTAGTAAACTCCCAGGTTGGCCCCCAGTCCCTTTCCTGGATTTCTGAAGTGTCCTCTGTGTAACTGCTTAGCCCGTCATTCAGACACTGTCTCTGGATCTTTTAGGTTAGGAATCTCTTTATCTTTATGTAGCTGATGTCTGACACAGTGCTCAGCTCATAGGAGGCCCTCAACAAATTCTTGTTGAACTTGGCATTTAACGACCATGGTTCTAATTAGGCGTTGTGCTAGGTGCTATTCATGCATTAGCTCACTAAATCTTCATTATTATTTGTGAGAAAGATCTGATTACTCCCAAGTTACAGATGTACAAAAACTGAGATTCACAGAGCTCAATGGCTTGTCTAAGGTCGTACAGCTACTCAGTGCCATGCAATTTTATTTGAACGTAAATGTGTCCAATTTTTAGATTACAGTCTTTCACCTCCTTGGGCTTTCTCCCTCAGGTGTGTGTATAAACAGGGTGGGAGCCTGACAGATGAAAGAATTCCTCTGTAATGGTGGGATTTGGGGGCTCCACCAGGACATGGGGTAGGATTTTGGGGGGAGAAAGGCATGTAACCCCCTCCTTGCCTCTGTGGTTCCTCAAGGAGCTGTGCACTCATCTCAGGGCTGGGTGACACTTGCCCTCTAATACTCCTAGAGGCTTTCTTTCTGGCTCTTTCTGACTTACCTTTGGTCTAAGTGCCCTCCCCAAATTCCCAGCCCTGGCAGAGCTTGGGAGAGCTCCCCTGACATGCCTACTGCTGGGGCTCATGCCTGGGGGGCAGGCCCTACTTTTGCTCTGGGTGATGCTCCTTCAGCACGGGCACCTTCTGCAGGTCTGCTCCTTCCAGCCCCTCTACCCGTGGTTTTTCTAGGTGGTGTACTTCACGGCCACATTCCCGTATGTCGTGCTCGTGATCCTTCTCATCCGAGGAGTCACTCTGCCTGGAGCTGGAGCTGGGATCTGGTACTTCATCACACCGAAGTGGGAGAAACTCACAGATGCCACGGTGGGCTTATTATTTTATTAATAACAGGTCCCCTGGTGGGGGAGGGAACGGCACTCAGGGATGGCTCATGCTCTAGGTCGCTGTTTGGTGGAAGGGGTTAGACTTCCTTCCTCAGTGTGTGCTGGGCGATCATGGTGCATTATGCACTCAGGAAATATTTAATGAGAAGTGGACAGCTGAGAGTTTTCAAATTCCTGGAATAGTTGTCCTACATCTGGGGTTGCAGTGGAAGCTGAAAATGAAGAATGAAATCCTCTTAATAGCTCTGGGCCACTTCACACTACTTATCTGTTACTAAATATAGTGCAGTAGAAGTAGAGTTTTGCAGGTTGGAACATAATAGCACTTGGGTAAACCATAAGCAATTCTATTTTAAAGGGCTTAGACCCATCTGAATGCTTCCTATACACCCACACAGGGCCAGCACACATTTCAACTCTTTGCATGTACTTTTTTCTTTTTCTTTCTTTCTTTTTTATTTTTTGGTGACAAGTTCTCACTATGTTGCCCTCCATAGAGTGCTATGGCATCACAGATCACAGCAACCTCAAACTCTTGGGCTTAAGCTATTCTCTTGCCTCAGTCTCCCAAGTAGCTGGGACTGCAGGTGCCTGCTACAATGCCCGGCTATTTTTTCATTGTAGTTGTCATTGCTGTTTGGCAGGCCCAGACTGGGTTTGAACCCGCCGGCTCTGGTGTATGTGGTTGGCACCCTTACCGCTGAGCTACAGGCGCTGAACCAAGAATATTTTGATTTCTTTCTTTTTTTTGAGACAGTCTCAAGCTGTTACCCTCAGTAGAGTGCTGTGGCATCACAGCTCACAACAACCTCAAACTCTTGGGCTTAAGTGATTCTCTTGCCTCAGCCTCCCAAGTAGCTGGGACTACAGGTGCCTGCGACAATGCCTGGCTGGTGTCGTTGTTGTTTGGCAAGCCCAGGCTGGATTTGAACCTACTAGCTCCGGTGTATGTGGTTAGGCCCTAGCTGCTGAGCTACAGACGCCAACCCTTTGCACGTTCTATATCAGCACACTTTACTCGAAAATTCCCAGTCCCAATGAGAACTAATTGTTCTCACCTTAAAGGAAACTCTCCTTTTCCAGAGTATGTTAAGAACACATAGCCAGGATCGAGTTTGACTGTATGTGACAGAAAATCTCCACGTCCTGGCAGGTAGGATGTAGCCCTGTAAAGTCTGCTCCACAGCGGCACAGAGACCACATTCCTAAGATTAGGGACTATAGAATTTCAGATGTTTAAGAGCAGTTGGAATCTATAAGAATATGGGCAAAAAAGGGATTTTATTTTGTGCCCATGCCTATGTTTTGCTGTTCTACATCAGTTTGTGAGGGTGCATTGACCTTAAGAAAGGGCTCTGCCTTCTGGCTGGCTTCACCTGAGGAGGTGAAAATGTGGAAAGTGCATGGAGTCACCGAGTTCCTCTCCACTGATCTGAGGGAGTTAAAGTCTCGTAGGTAGCAGAGTGCCCTTTTGACCTCCAGGACAAGCGAGTTGTGTTTCTCATTTATGCTGCTGTCCCAAGTCATCTCATCCTGATGCCTGTCCCCTGGGAAGATGATGCGGCAGTTGGTGTCTAAGACTCTCCTCCCCTGGGGCCAGTCTCCTCCGTGACTTTGAATCTCCTCTCCTTCTGCCTCCCAGGTGTGGAAAGATGCTGCCACTCAGATTTTCTTCTCTTTATCCGCCGCATGGGGAGGCTTGATTACTCTCTCTTCTTACAACAAATTCCACAACAACTGTTACCGGTACGTGGAGTTACTCGCAGGTCCTGGTTAGCAGGAACAGGGTCAGAGACAGAACAAGGGCCACATCCTCAGGCTTCACTATAGGTAAAGATAAGATTTGCCTCGTGCCTGGAAATACCACCTGCTAGGGCCTAGCCTTATTTCCTGGAGGCCTGGACCCTAAATTGTACTCCTGTCTCTGTCACATGGGGGCTCAGTAGTCATTTATAGGATGGAAGATGACTTCTCCATAGGACAGAGGTCATGGTGTAGCCTGCTGTGTCCTGTGATAGTCACGTGTGAATGACCTAGTCCACGGATACAACTATATGGTAGTCACAACATATGGTCATATAGTCACTTTATAAATACTTTTATTTTTTTAATTTATTACTTTTTTTTAGAGACAGAGTCTCACTTTGTCACCCTTGGTAGAGTGCTGTAGTGTCACAGCTCATAGTAACCTCCAGCTCTTGGGATTAGGTGATTCTCTTGCTTCAGCTTCCCCAGTAGCTGGGACTACAGATGCCCGCCACAACACCTGGCTATTTTTTGTTGTTGTTGCAGTTTGGCTGGGGCAGGGATTGAACCCGCCACTCTCGGTATATGGGGCTGGTGTTCTACTCACTGAGCCACAGGCTCTCCTATAAATACTTTTCTAGAGACCCTATAAGGAAGGTGTACAATAGAAAGAGCACCTTGAATTCAGACAGACTTGCATTTGACTATGACTTTACCATGTACTAAAACTCCAAGACATGAGCAAGATACTTTACTTCCCTGAGCCTCTGTTTCTTTGTCTATAAAATGCAGATTATAATATTTTGTTGGGGGTTAAGAGATGATGTAAGCAAATTCCTCAGAGCAATATTTCAAACCTAGTAGGCACTCAATAGATGGAAGCTGCCATTATCATTATTATTATTTAAAAAATAATATATGAGATATTCTGTGACCCAAGAAAGGTTTAAAACGTCCCTGTCGTTAAATAGCTTACTATCTAGGTAAAGAGGTGCAAAATCACTACTGCGGTTCTAGGTTCAGATTGTTAGTCACACTTACAGGACACCATCGGATTATTGAACACAAGTTTGCTTAGCCAAGAAAGGATATGGAATGGGGAGACAGCGACAGGACCCTGGAGACCTCGGGCACCCAGCCCCTACCTACAGTGTCCTGAGCACTTCCCACTGCCCATTTGGTAGTAAAGGATGACAATGAGAGCCGGTCACATTAAAACAAGGGATGCCCTGTGGCCTCTGATAACTGGCACCTGGAAGGGTGCAGCCCAGCTCCCATCTTTAGGGCAGCTGCAGCTCAGTTATTCTAGCTTAGGCATAAAACAATCCTAGCAACCAGGTATGGTGAGCTCTCCGTCATGCCTGGATCAATAATTAGTCCATAGCAGCCACAAGAACCCATCCAGTAACTCAACACTGCAAGAATTGTGATGAAGCATCAACCTTTCCCAAAGCATCTCTGAAATTAGAGGAAAAGATTACTGTTAAGCTGTGGCCTGGGATGGCCGCACACAGACTCATACTGGGCTGACTTTAGCAGGTGCAGGAGGAGGAAGAGCATCTCAGGCCGCAGAGAGATCCAGAGGTGGGAGTGTGATAGGTGCGTGTAGAGGGAGGCAGGTAGGTGGGATGCAGCAGCCTGTGTGCATGTGGGGCCAGAGGGAAACGGGGCCTGGAAATCAGCCCAGGCCAGACGGGGGAGAGCCTTTGTATTAGTTTGCCGGAGCTACTATAACAAATGCCGCAGACTCTGTGGCTTAGACAAAGGAAGTTTATTGTTTCAGAGCTCTGAAGCGACTGAAAGAGGCTGAAGTCCCAAGGTGCTGGCAGGGAGGGTTTCTTTGGAGGCGCCGCTCCTTGGCGTGTGGACGATCCTTCTTCTCCCTCTGTCCTCTCCTGGTCTTCCCTCTGTGTGTGACCATCAGTCACTTCGGACTAGGACCCAATCTAATAACCTTATTTTAACTAAGTTACCTCTTTAAACTCTTTTTTTCTGAATAGTCACATTCAGAGGTATGGGGATTAGGACTTCCATGTACAAATCTGGGGGAAGGTGAAGTTCAGCCCCTAATAGTCATATGCCAGGTGAAGGCAGTGGAACTTCTTTTGATCACACCTGCTCAGTAATGGTTGACCTGAATCAGTCTGAACACTGTCAAAGGGTGGAAGCATTGCCACGTGTTTTATTAGAAAGGAGGAGGTATGGTGTGGCAGAAAGAATCTGGGCTGAGAGCTGGAAAGTCTGGTTTCAATTCCTGACCCACTGTTAACTAGTCCACTACCTTCCCCCTGGGCCTCATCAGTAAGTTGGGGTCAAGACAGGGTCTTGGGGTCAAGGTCAGTTACTGGGCCCTGGCTCTGCAGTGGGTGTGAGTGGCGTGGGCATCATTTTGTTGGGTCCTCATAACCTATGAGGAGGTAGGGTTATTGCCACCATTTTAACTCACAGTAGAATGGAAGGGACTTGATCAAAGTCATAGTGATAACAGACAGGAAAGCCAGAATTTCCATGAAGCCCTGGGGCTCCAACTAGCCAGCAGGCTGGTGACCCTGCCGTAGAAGGCGCTCTCCCCTTGTCCTACACAGGCCCGGATGCCCCACCCCCAGGCTGCTCTCACACCTTGTGGCATTTCATTGTCCCCTGCCTTTGCTTGCTTCACACATGGTTTCTATCCTCAGACTCCCCCCGCCCCAGGCCCCAACTCCTTATTCTGCTCTGGTGGACAGATCTGACCCTGCCTCTGGACGGTATCTTAGCTTGTTTGGGTTGCCATAACAAAATACCTCAGCCTGGGGAGTTTATGAACAACAGCAGTGTATTGCTCACAGTTCTGCAGGCTGGAAAGTCCAGGGTCAAGGCGCCAGCAGCTTCTGTGTCTGAGGAGGCCTTGCTCTCTGCCTCCAGGATGATACCTTGTTCTGTCCTCACACGGTGGAAGAGGCAGACACGCTCCCTGCAGCCTCTTAGATAGCGCAGAGTCCTCATGATTTGATCACTCCCTCAAAGGCCCCACTTCTTAATACTAAGCAATTAATCCATTCTGGATTAAGTTTTAACATGAATTTAGGGGAGCACAAACATTCAGACCATGGCGGCTGAGTCGAGACCCAGTTCTAAAGCTTATGGAGCCCGAGCTTTGGTCCAGAGCCCCCAGATCAGGGTGATACAGGAGATCTTTTTGAGCCTTTTGGTAGTTTTACATTTTTATTTATTTATTTGTTTTTTGGAGACAAAATCTCAATCTGTGGCCCTGGGTAGAGTACCATGGCATCACAGCTTACAGCAACCTCAAACACTTGGGCCCAAGCCATCCTCTTGCCTCAGCCTCCCAGGTAGCTAGGAATATAGGCATTGCTGCAAAGCCCAGCTAATTTTTCTGTTTTTAGTAGAGACGGGGTCTTGCTTTGCTCAGGCTTTCAGGCTTGTCTCAAACTCCTGAGCTTAGTTGATCCACTCACCTTGGCCTCCCAGAGTGCTAGGATTATAGGCGTGAACCATTGCAACCGGCCCTCTTGTTGGGTTTTGAATGAGCCCACTGGATTCTGTGGTCAGGACTGCTTGTTTCTGTCCTTTGGTGGGTACATGTTTAGCAATGGACAAGGACATGCTTGGCCATGCACACACACGTGCACACAAACACACGGGCACACATTAATGTGTCCTTCCCCATGTCCCTTCCTACTCACAGAGCACATCTAACAGCAAACTCTGGTCTCTTCCTTCCAGGGACACTCTGATCGTAACCTGCACCAACAGTGCCACCAGCATCTTTGCCGGCTTCGTTATCTTCTCTGTTATCGGCTTCATGGCCAATGAACGCAAAGTCAACATCGAGAATGTGGCAGACCAAGGTACAGGACGGTTGTCACCTGCTGTTTCAGGGCAGGCTCCAGGCACACCTCACAGGCTCCTAATTATGCCACGGGGGAAGTTGGCCTTCTGGGACAGGATAGAGCAGCGGTTCTCAACCTGTGGGTCGCGACCCCTTTGTAACAATGAAAATACATGGCAGCATTAGGAAGTTTGGGAATCACTGGGATAGAGGGTGGGGGAGCCCAGGACCCCCCTTTGCAGAGGAACCAAGACAGGTTCAAGTTGGTCTCTCGCTGCTGGGTGAGCATTGGCAGTCTCTAACCAGAGGGATCCCTTTCAAAGTCCCTTTCCCTCTCTTTTTTTCCTTCTTCCCTGGGCCCTCTCAATTCATCTCCAGCCCCAGTCAGTAAGGGTTAGCCCTGCTAGACCTTTTAGGTATAAATCGTAGATTCATTAGGCAAATCACTGCCCCTGGAGCAGACGTGGGCACAGTCTGCCCCAGGATGACCTTCCTTGCAGAGGGCCCTGCCAAAGGTGAGGCTTAATAAGAGCACTGACTTCAGAGGAGCCTTTTCCTTACAAAGCATTTTTCTGACTATTAGGTCAAATGTGCTCTCGGGGGCTTTCTGCTTAGTTAGCAAAGCAGACTCGCAGTTTTTTCCCCAGTGGGTAGACAGGTTGGATAGTGGTGGATGGGTGGAGAGGTATGTGGAATCATTGTTTACTTTCCACCCCAGTGAGCCTTTTATGAATGGCTAACATTTGTATGGTACATTTGAGTTTGCAAAGAGCTTTCTTTTTTATCTCATTTAATCCACATTTCTAGGACAGCATTTTGCAGTGAGAATGTTTAAGATTTTTATTAAACTCTTCATTTCCACCCTGCCTGGTTCTACGAAGGAGTTGGGTTTTTAGTTGTTTTCAGTGATCAAGGGACTTCACTGTGGCTTTTGCTTACAGTTATGATCTCATTGTCCGTGTGGGGACTGTGCCCAGTGCTGTGTGGCACGACTGTGGGCCCTGACCACCCAGAGCTGTACCTGTGAGAGGCTTGTCTGGGCAGTTATCTTTCTTCAAGAAGGTCCCTGCAGTCCTCAGATAATGGCTCAGATGCTGCGAGAGAGTTAAGTCCTAGAAATGTCACCTTTTTGGTAGGCTGCTAAGATCTCTTCTGGCTCCCTGAGGATAATTAATTACTGCTTCAGCTTGTGCTGATGGTGCACCAGGGGCCTCAAAGAGTTAAGGAGCCAGCATGTTTTAGGGGTGTAATTATCTCTCCCTGGAGAGAGTATGAGTCCCTAAGGGGTGTTTGGTTCTGCAGCCATGCACTAAATTAGAGGGGCCCCAGGAGATGAGCAGAAAACACCCTGGGAGGCAGGGAGGGAAAGAAACAGGGTGAGAAGGCTTTGTCCTCAGGGGCGCCTGCACCAGCCCCCAGCCGTCCTGTAACCTCATTTCCTCCCAGCAGAGTGGCTGGAGCTGATAGATTCTGCCCCACTTTCTAGCAGATCTGAAGTGTTTGTTATTTTTTGTGGCATTCTCAAGCTCTTTGGGAACCAGTGTCTGCTGTGCTGCTAGAGATAGTGATTCCTGAGACTATGGCCCAGGTTAGTCAATTATTCTGAGCTCTTTCCTGCTCCAGGAAAAGGAGTTGGGGAGAGATGCTGCTAAAACTCAAATAGAACATTTTTTTATCTGGCACTTAAAAAGCAGCCTGACGATTGTGTTTCCTTCTGAATTTCTCCTTTCTAGTATATACAGGGTGTTCACACACTATACATATACAATATATGTATATTTATATATTTTTTGTTATTGTTGTTGTTTGTTTGTTTGTTTTGTTTTGTTTTGTTTTGAGACAGAGTCTCACTCTGTTGCCCTGGCTGGAGTGCCATAGTGTCAGCCTATCTCACTGCAACCACAGATTCCTTTCAGGCCATCCTCCTGCCTCAGCCTCCTAAGCATCTGGGACTGTTGGCACCTGCCGCGATGCCTGACTAGTTTTCTATTTTTAGTAGAGATGGAGTCTCACTCTTGCTCAGGCTGGTCTCAAATTCCTAAGCTCAAGGGATCTCCCCACCTCGGCCCCCCCGAATGCTAGGATTACAGGTGCCCAGCCTCATATATTTTTATATGTGCTTTACAGGCTTCTCTTATTTCTCCCAGTATAATACAGGCTCTGCAGAATTCAGGCAGAGAGAATGGGGCATTAAATCCCAGCCCCACGGCCTCCTAGCTGGGCAACTCTGGCCTATAGACGGACATTCTGTACATTTTTGCTGACTTGACTTTGGTAACTAAGTTTTGGTCTTTAGTAAAAAGCTTTCCTTAATGACCCAACACAATTCTATTTATTTAATAGATTGCTACTCCCTTCCAAGGGTGGGATTTCTACTAACGTTCTTACCCCAAATCTCAGCCTTATCAGGATTTGGGGGAACTGAGGGAAGGAGTGATGATGAGACCAAGCTGTCCTCTGCTTTCCTGATAGGCACAAAGAAGGGGGCATGTTCTTTTCAGAAATCTTCAGAAAAGCAGCTTCCAGGGAAGTGAGGCTTTCAGAGCTGTCCCCCAAGTGTCTGTACCGCTGCCTGTGGAGCAGTGACTCATGTTCAGAATCCAACCTGAAGCCACAAAGGGAGGCTCATCCAGCAGCAGCGAGACTGGGTCACACCCGGGGAGATAAGCACAGATGTGCACATCCTGGTTAGAGTTCCCAAGTACAGACTGGTAACTCTTAGTTACCCAGACCCCTGGAAAGTACTGCCTTGGTCCCCTTGCTCCTACCGGTTCAGAGATTCTGCTAATCCAAATGACATTCTCTTTTATTTTTGTTGTTGCTGCAGTGGCAAAAGAAAAAAAAAAGAGCACCCTCTAACTGGGCTGATGCACCCTCATCCAGCCATCTGTCTATCACCTGTATCCCGACTCTTTCACCCACCCAAAGGCATAGAAGTCCAGGCGGTGCACGCTCAGAGAACTCATGCCACGTGTAACACTTATCACAGCAGAGTGGCCATCCTGGCTGTGCTGTAGGTCTTGCTATAGTGCATTGACCAGGGTCTTCAGCAGTGCTCTAGGATGAAGGAGGCCCTTGCGGCAGATCTCTGGGGGCCCTGTCCGACATGCGAGCCCCTTTGATCCTTGCTCAGGGGAAGAGTAATAGTGCCATATGTTTTCTCGGTTCCTACTATATCCAGGCATTGTTCTAAGCCCTAATTTGTATTAACCCATTTTACTCTCACAAAAACTCTATGAAGGTAGGCACTATTTTTATCTCCATTGTATAGAGAAGGAAACTAAAAGTTTGTCCAGAGAGAACAAGAGTCTCACCTAAGGTCCACAGCTACTAAGAGTCATATTTTTAATCCATGGAGAATGGAGCCTGCACTCCAGCCACTGGGTTATATGGCCTCCCAGCAGCAGAGGAGAGTCAGGGCCAGGCCTCCAGGTAGGCATACAGTCTTAAATATCCAGCAATACTGTTCACTGGGTGACTACACTCCCCACCCATCTTTCTTTTTTTTTTTTTTTAAGAGACAGTGTTTCACTTTGTCACCCTTGGTAGAGTGCTGTGGTGTCACAGCTCACAGCAACCTCCAGCTCTTAGGCTTAGGTGATTCTCTTGCCTCAGCCTCTCAAGTAGCTGGGACTACAGGCACCTGCCACAACACCCAGCTATTTTTTTGTTTTTGGTTGCAGTTTGGCCTGGGCCAGATGTGAACCCACTACCCTCGGTATATGGGGCTGGCACCCTATTCACTGAGCCACAGGTGCCACCTTTTTTTTTTTTTTTGAGAAAGACTCTCACCATGTCACCCTTGGTAGAGTGCTGTGGCATCACAACTCACAGCAACCTCAAACTCTTGGGCTTAAGTGATTCTCTTGTCTCAGCCTCCCAAGTAGCTGGACTACAGGCGCCCACCACAACACCCTGCTATTTTTTGTTGCAGTTATTGTTATTTAGCTGCCCCAGGCTAGTTTTGAACCCACCAACCTTGGTGTATGTGGATGGTCCCTAACCACTGAGCTACGTGTGCCAAGCCTTCCCACTGGTCTTGGGAAAGTGGAGTTAGCCTCAATGTAGCTTGAAAATGATGCCTTCACCTGGGTACTTTGGGGAGCAGCTGAAATTGAAGCAGCCTGAATATTTTGAAATCCCTTTCTTCCCCTAAAAAAGCCCAGAGATTGGAATCCTGTTAAAGGAACGTACGATGTTTTCTGGTAGCAGCCATTTCAGACCTTCCTGTCCACTTTATGGGCTGACTGTTGCCAGAGCACTGAACTGACTTCCTGGCTGTTCTGCATTTGAGACCTATTTTGAACTGTAGTTTAATACAGACTTTTCTTTTATAGCTCACTTAGGGAGCCTTCAGAGGCCAGCTTTACAGTCTGTTCAATAAATGCATAAAGCGGGGTGGGGGGATCTTAGGTGTTGGAGTCTTTACATTTTACATACCCGGAGGCTCTAGGCAACATTAGGAACTAATAACCTGTGTGAAAGAGCACTGTCATGCTTGAGAGATAAAAACTGTAGGTGCTGTGATTTCAGGTTTGCAGACATGTGCTGGCCAGGGATCACCCCTGTGCTCACGTTCACTTGTCTCTGCCCTTGATCATTTAGTTCTCCACTTACAGGGAAATTCCCAGCTGCTGTGTCTTTAGCCATCTTTGGTTACAATTATCTTCCGGTGAGGCCATGAGGCAGGTAGCAATTTCTGGCAGAGCTCTCTCGCAGCAGAGAAAACTTCAGCTCAGACAATCCCTACCAAGGCCACGTGAGGTATTCTAGAGAAAAGAATCACTAGCTTCCAAGCTCATAGTCTATTAATAATAAAAGTTAATATTCTCTGAGTATTGATGATAGAGGAGGTGCTGGGCCCAGGATTTTATCTATGTTTTCTCATTTATTCCTTACTACCACTTTGTAAGGTACTATTGTTACCCCCATTGTACAGATGGATAAAATTGAGGCTTACAGAAATTAAATAACATTTAATTTCTTGCACAGCTGATAAGTCATGCAATCTGGATTTGGACCAGATCTCTCTGACCCTTAGTGACCAAACTCTTTTAACCCTTACATCATGTTTTACTGCCCTCTCCCCCCAACTATCACCCGTGGACTGCTGTAGCCCCATCTTTACCAAGCAGGGCAAGATCCTAAAGGAAGTTAGATTTATGTTTTATATAAATGGCTTCTTCTGGAGGTCTGAATAGGAGAAAGAGTACGTAAAGTGAGAGATAATATCATTTTGTAAAGTGAGAGATAATATCATTTTGATATTATCAGGGCTTCAAACTTTTAGAACAGAGATTCTTACCCTCAGCACTATTGACATAGGATAGGGTAATTCTTTGTCAGTAGGAGACTGTTTCGTGCATTGCAGAATGCTTAGTGGCATCCCTGGCCTCTGCCCACTAGATGGCAGTAATCATCCCCCCTACCCCATTCCAGCTGTGAGAATACAAAATATCTTCAGAAGTTGCCAAATATCCCCTGGGGGCACAATCAGCCCTGGTTGAGAATCACTGCTCTAGAGGGTAATTATTATTTTCTTCCTTAACTTATCCAAAATGCCATTGATGGAGCTTCTCATGTTACATGCGTGGGACACAGCCTGCTGTGGGATCTAGGTGGTTGGCTTTGAGTCTCTGCTTTGACACTATTTTTGTGCCTCTCCTGTGAGTTCCTCTAGCTGTGACCTAACTCTAGTCCTTGTCTGGAAGGAGCTTAAGGGCTAACTGAGGAAATGGATAGAGATGAGTAAAAAAAAAAAGCCAACAGTGGAAGCAGCATTTAAAAAGTGCTAAGTCAGGAACTCAGTAGGAGAAGGCCCTGTGGGTCCTGGGAGAGGGGCCCGGAGCTGGCCCTGCCTGCCATCACCTGTGTCGCTCTTTCAGGGCCAGGAATTGCATTTGTGGTTTACCCGGAAGCCTTAACCAGGCTGCCGCTCTCTCCATTCTGGGCCATCATCTTTTTCCTGATGCTGCTCACTCTTGGACTTGACACTATGGTGAGCCCCTTCCTTCCCATCTCCTGGGTCCTGGGTCTGGCCTTTGGCAGAGAGGTAGGCTGAGGGGTGCCTGGATGTTTCCCCAGAGTCATGTGAGAGGGTGAGGTGCCTGGGGGGCTCAGGATAACCGTGTATTTTGGGTGTTCACATGAGAAGAGCCAGAATATCTCCCTCTTCCTTGTCTCTGTCCTCTGGGTCATGTTATAGCCTGTGCTAGTTCTCGCTTTGGTGTCATTTTGCCCAAGCAAATTCTGCTGGGGTGGATAAGGAAGGATAATATATAGTGAATGTTAGGGAAATTGCTGTGGGGCTGAGACTGCTGCAAATCACGCTGACAGGTGCTCAGAGTTTAGTCACTGGGTGCAAAGAAGGTTTCCTCAAGTAGAAGATCAAATGCAAGGTAAATTGGAGGAGAGGAATTTACATCTCATGAATACAAAGTGGGGCTTAAAATGTCCTCCTGGCTGAATATGAGCGCAGTCTCTGGGGGCTAAGTACAGTTTCTAAAGCTCATACCTTGCTTGAGTCCTTGCCTGTGGGTTGGACCCTAACGAGGCCTTTTAGACATATCAAGGTAATGCTAACTTAAAAAACCAAACCTACCACAAAGGCAGCTTTCCTGGGGGGGACAGGCGAACGGCTTTGGGGAACTTCAGGCCAGACTGTTTGTCTCTGATGCCTTACATCATTCCAGTTTGCCACCATCGAGACTATAGTGACCTCCATCTCGGATGAGTTCCCCAAGTACCTGCGCACACACAAGCCAGTCTTTACTCTGGGCTGCTGCATTTGTTTCTTCATCATGGGCTTTCCAATGATCACGCAGGTAAGCTGCCTGGTGGGCTCCGGCTTGGGATGGGGGACTGGTGGCTGTCTGTCCTTCCCCCTTACCTCTCAGATCTTCTAGCCACGACCAAGTAGCTGCCATTTCCGTGGCGATGGCACCAGTTCATCAGGGATTCTGACCACAGAGGGAACTAGGCACGTCTGTCATCTTGGCTCCCAGTGATGCTTCCAGCATCTTCATAATTGAGATGTAGCCTTCTTGAGCCAACAAGGCAGGTGTGCCCTACTTTAAGAAAATAGAATACGTGAAAGCCCACATTTTCTAACCAGATAAATTTCCAGGTGGTTACTCATTACATATGAGTTACAGCCACTCGAGTTCCTTGGAGTACTGAATGTCTTGATAAGTTGAGTGTTAGCGCATTCACTGTTTCTATAGCTTTTGCTGTGTCTGGGACCTTGAATGAGTCTCTATTCCTTGGCCTTACTTTCTTCATTTGTGACATGATGGATTGGAATGAGATGGTCCCTAAGCCTTATCTATTGTAGGGAGACTTACAGGGTGAGGTAGAGCTCCATGTGGATGTGTGAAAAATGCCCAGAGATACCTACAGGTCATGGGAAGGTAAATGAAAGGCAGATACATGGGTGGAAACGATCATCAATTGCTTAAAGTAAAGATAAAGCAATCTGGCTGCCTTCACGTACACTTCTTCCGATGCTGACCTTTGTTTTGCCTTTGAAGAATAAGATGTTAAATTACTTTTTAATGCTTGGTCTATTGATTAGCTCAGAGTCTGCAGGGGAGACAGCTTTGCTAACATGGCAAGATCTCCAGTTTACATCCTGGACCAGCTGTAGGTTACTGCTGCTGAGAGGAGGGGTGATGCTTTGGCCCTCGGTGTGCACCTGACCCTCCCCAGGGTGGGGAGGGTTGGCTGTTAGACTGGGAAGAGAGCCCAGCTGTGGGCCCATTTGACTGGTTGTTTCTCTCTCTGGTTAGGGTGGCATTTACATGTTCCAGCTTGTGGACACGTATGCTGCGTCCTATGCCCTCGTCATCATTGCCATCTTTGAGCTCGTGGGGATCTCCTATGTGTACGGTAAGGGAATCACCAGGCCTGCTGCTGAGGTAGAATCACAGTGTCGGGAAGACACTCGTGGCAGTGGATTTTCCATACCCAATAAGTGAAAGGATTTTACAGCTGCGATTTAGGAAGCATAGGAGAGCTGCACCTTTGCTTCTAAGCTTGCCTGAGGACTGCTGTGATCCACATTTAATAGACATAGAAGGTGGCTGATGTTGAAATTCCAAGGAGTTAGACACCCCTTTGGCTGTTGTTGGCATGCAGACAGTTAATGCCTGTGGATAATAGCCGGGTAAGGGAGGAAGAGGGCTACCCTGCAGGTGCGAGGTTACTTCTTGGTCTACTACCATGCTCATACGGGGTGAAGGTAGCTCCTCTGCTAGTCCCTGGGTACTGCAGTAAGAACAAAGACCACTCAGCTCACTGATTCTTAAGAGACTTTATTAGCATTATGGGAGACTGTGATACAATATCTCAATCTCAGATTTTCCCAGGAATAAACTTCCAGTTCTCTTATAGTTTATCCTTCCTACCATTGTTGTAGCAACCTGCCCTGTGTAATCACCAGTGCCACTACCAAGAACAATAGGCACGGTGAGGTAGCAGATGTCGTCCATGCCCTTGTGCAGAGGTGTCTGTTCTTGGGTTTTCACTGGCGTATCTCCTATTTCCTGGTATGCACCATCAGTCATCAGTACAAGGAAGTCTGTTGGATTTAAAGCATTGCTAACTTCTTTGTGCCTGGAAGTCTGTTCAGAACTGTTTTTAGGTCTCCCTAATATACGTAGGCCACCGTAGCCAACATCAGGTAAGTAGAAACTATCAGTTCAGATTATCTAATTATACTTCAAATCCCCAAAGAGACAGCAACATGCTCTCAACTAAAGGAAACACAGGATGCCACTTGGAATGCATGATACGAGTGAGGGACAAATGTACCCTCAAATGTACCCTCAATGGCCCAAAGTAAATGGTGGGCCTAGGCCAGAGGGGTCTGCAGAGCTCTGCTCTTTAGACCAAGGGCCCGGCAGAGTTTCCCCTAATCACCAGGTACCCTTGATAAGGGAATCTTGCCTTCAAGGTCATTGTTAGCCACCCACCCAGCAGGTGCTTACCAGTGTCTTGCTTTCCTGAAAAACTTATTAAAATGAAGAGGTAGCATGGGGAATGAAGATGTAAAAGGAAATTTCCTGTGTAAACCTCCTGGGACTCCAGCAGCAGGATGGTATGGCAGTCAGCTTTCAGCATTAGTGGAAAGAGAATTTGTCCCAGATCGGAGATCACAACCCTATTGCAGGGAGAGTTTAGTTCCTGGCAAGCAAAGTGGGCAGGCATGCCAGCTTTCCTGATGGGATCAGAGACCAAGCTGCCAGCCCATTTGGCTGATAAGACAGCCTGGACCCTGCCATGATGCTGCGTCGAAGACCTGCTGTCAGAGGTAGGGTGAGGCTTCTAAGTGCTGTCTACCTGAGCAGAGAGTGGCAGAAACCCAGTGAAATCCACCACAGTGAATCTTACCTTTGTGCCCAGATACCAAAAGCCTTGCCAGGAAAGGGAAATAGAGGCCTCCAAGGTCCTTCTTTGGCAACTCAACCCCGCTTGGGTCCATGTGTGAGCTGATGTCGCCAGATGGTCTGTTGGCAAAGCTGGGAAAACACATCATTTGTGGCACTGGCCCATGTGCAAGTAGACATCTCGTTTACCTCTTCCCCTACCTGCATCTTAATTGCTACAAAAGGCACCTTGCACAGTTCTTCCCTGTAAACCAGTGCTGTTCAGTGTGGTTAAAGGCATCATTAAAACAGAAACCTTTTACTGTTTCTGCGTTTAGTAGTTAAATAGCTTCTGCCACCCTCAGCCCCATATAAACCTAGTAGTGGATTTCTTCTGAAGAAAAAAACAAATACTGAGCGCTTCCATCCCTGGTAATTTTCCTCAGGACCACCCAAGAAGACCTCTGCTCTCTTAAGGGTAATGATGTTGAGCTAGGTTGACACTGTCCTGGATATCAGATGTGGGTGTGAACCTCTGTTTTGGATTTGGATGGAATGTTAAGATGTGAATCTCAGAAAGAAATAGTTGAAAGAAGGTAACACAATTGTTAATGGTGCAAAGGAAAGCCTGCACAAATATGTAAATGGTATCCCAGAGGACAGTGCCTTCCTTGTTGAGATGATGAGGCCCTAAACCAGGGCAAGCTTCGTTTGAGGTAGTTGAACATGAATCTGTGAAGGGTGAAAGGAAGCTGATTCACCTGCTGCATTCCGTTCTTGGCCACAGAATTAAACAAATAGGAAAATGAAGTACAGAAATTTGTGTTTTCTTCTTGTTTCTAATAATCTCTAGATTCTAGAAGATGTCATTCAAATATTTGAGATAGGGTGGGTATAATTTTCAAGTTTTATCATTAGATTAAAATAGCTGATTGAAGTTCTTAAGTCAACATGCCTCAGTGGCCAATAGCCTGGTTCAAGGTATCTAGGTTTAAAATTGGAACTCCTTGAGTTTGGTGTATGCACAAAAGTGATCACTCTCTCTCTGTTTTTTGAGACAGAGGGTACTTTGTCACCCTCAGTAGA